TTTTTCTGCGAGTGTGTTTTATTTTTCTTTAAACTGGTTTTTCTGCCAACTCGCTCGAAATGGCACAGTTCTTGTATATTTTGCTAAACCGGTTTTTCTTTTGACTTTTTAGAACCAGAATAAAAATCCGAACAGAAAATATAAAAGAAAGAAGTGGCGGCAGCAGCAGCAGCGGCAGTAGGCACAGCTGAAACACGTATTGAAAGTTCTTTTTTCTCGGCTCCAAAACAATTTTCTTGACTCTTATTTGGAGTCCCATTTTGTTTTCGCTCTCCCCCCTGTTGTTTTCTGCTGTCGAGCGCACTTCCTGTGGAAACAGGGAACGGCAGTTGTGCCTTAACGACGATCCCCGTTCGCCAGAGAGAGAGAGGGTGGGGGATCGGTGGCCGGCGCACATTTAGGGGTTGCAACCCCCAACAGGAAAAAAGTTTACCCTCTGCCTGTGGACCCTTTGCTTGCTCCTGCTCTCTGTCTCTAAACAGGCTTAACCAGTTTTCGGGGTTGCTCGGAGATCCTGGGACCAGAACATTAATGGAACCTGGTCTAACGTCTGGCGCGTGCTTCGTATTGCAACCTATTGTGCCCTTATCCTATTTTTTCTATTTTAATTTTATATATTTTTTTTTTTTTTTTTTTTAATGCCCGATTTGCATCAGGGCATGATGGCACTCAAGTTGTTGGCATTTGAAACCCTGAATTAATGAGGTCCTGTGCCGTTACAACTGCGATTTGCATTGAAGTGCCTAGATTAATATCATTTGATGGGAGAGTTTTTCGCTAACATTGCGTGACATTTTGATAGCGCTTTAGTTTGATAGTAGATCTCTCCACAATTGTTAAATAGAAAGAGAAATGAGAATAGAAATCAGATATAGCAGAAGACAATTAGATCATAAGACAATATAGGATAAATTTTAATACATCCATTTAGTTATTTACTCTGGAAATTTTTTGATATATAATTATTGTATAGGTACGGAAATAAGTTCTCTCATGTATAGGGTTATATATTAATTAACTGCAATTGGCCATTGCCCCAATTGAAGGTGTTAAGTGATATTTTATCTATATCTTGATATCCTGTGAACGGCAGCTGCTAAATCAATATATAAAGTTGGGGTTTTCGCTAACAACGATCCGCATATGAGTAATTTTGGACGTCGTTTGATAGTAGGTCCCAATACATTCAAAATATCACTAAGCTAAGCTACTCACTCTTTCGCATACCTCCTTTATTATATAAAGTTTATTTAATATCTATTATTATTGTGGCAAATGCATTTAACACGATGTTTCGGAAAATGCAATTCCGTTGCATTTCAATTGCGAATTGCTAAAATAAACAAAAGAATAAGTTGAGATTTTCGCTAACCACGTTTCGTAAACAAAATATTTGTTATTTGAACGTCGTTTGATAGTAGACCTCAATACAAACATACATACATTTATGTATAATTATTTGCACATATTCATACTCTCATTCCCATTCACAATCGGCACAATTTTCGACTATATGCTCTCACCACATCCGTTGCGAGAACCCCAAAGCGAAAAAATAATATAAACGCGCTCGTCATCTACAAAGTTTTTCTGTGGGGTCCAACTGTACTTTTTCCATGCAAAACAACAACTCGCTCAGCAGCAGCAACAACAACAAAAACAACAATAGCGCTTTGCTCTTTGCCTGCGTTGGGAAAAAGGATCCCAATTTTCGTTATAATCCTCCACCATCTGCGCAAAAATAAAACCTTGCATGTGCAAAGAGCGTGCGTCACGAAACGTAGTTGTGGAACAGAGAATGAGCGATAGGTAAAGGGAGAGGGAGGCAGAGAGCGGCGGGAGAGCGAGAGAGATCCTTTTCCATGCTGTCGCTGCTGCAGTCGCTGCATGCGTTGGCAGCGAGCCGCCCCTCCGCCCGATTTTACCTACTACTCCACGGCGAATATTTGCCTGGCTTTGTGTGCGTGTGTGTGAGTCGGCTGCTGTTGCTGCTCAACTACAATAACAACTATTATAAATCCCCTTTTCCATGTAATTGTGTGTGTGTGTGCGTAGGAAAAACCCTCAGCTTGAGGCGGCGGACATTGTCTAGCCAATGCATCATCAACGTTGCTGTCGACGTCGACGTCGCTGTCGCTGTCGCCGTCAGCGTCAACGTTTATGCCATTTGGGGTAAGAGTTGCTCTAAGAACAGATGGCGCCACTGCGCATGTCTCGCACCTTATGTACAAAGGCCACACAAGTTCACACAACACAACAACATACGATATATACATATGTACATACAAAATAAATGCATGTATGTAAATAGAAAAACTGATCCCTCACACAAAGTAACCGTCCGCCTAACGGTGCCCTCTTGCGCTTGCACTTCTGTTCGTTTCGTTGCTCGTTGCTCGTTTTTCGCCTTCGCTCGGCCATCAACTTCTTAGCAACAACAACATCAAGCGCAGCATGTGTTTTTCGCCATTATATTTTATATTGATCGGCTGCTTCCTTTTGCATGGCGAAAAAAAAAAAAACAGCGACAAACGACTTGTGAAAAAGGGAGCCCGAACCGAAAAGCCGAACCGAACGCCAGCCAACATCGTCTTCAGTTGTGCGTCACATAGCGCAAATGTTGCTATCTCTGTTGCGCGCATTGTGGTCAGAGAATTGTACATGGGCACAGTTAGGTTTTCTATAGAACTTCTCTATGTCGGTCTGTTCGCCGCATCGCATGCCTGTCTGCCTTCAGACGGGGGCCATAAAAACGAACGAGCAAACGAGCGCGTGTTGCAGCTGTCGTTGTCGCTGCTACTGCTTTCCACCTCTTTTTATGCTGATGATTAAATTACGGCAGGAAACGGACGTACAAAACCAACAATATCAAGAAGAAGACTTTATATGAGATGCAACTGTGTACGCTCCCCTTTTCATTACAATTTTCATAGCAATTCGCCGCAGAGGCATCAATCCTCTTTCTTAATTTCTTTTTTACTCGTATAATTTTCGCTTCCATTTTGAAAAATGAAAATGTAGCCAAGCGGCGACGTTGACGGCAACGGCATCATCACCCGACTCCAACAAACTCTGCCACGTTTTCTCTCTTTCACTCGTTTTGCTTCTTGTTAGGCTCTTGCGGCGAATTGAACTGCTCGCATTATGTTTGCCAGTTTACCTGCCTGCGTTTGTGTGCGTGTATGGGATGTTTTCCCGTTATATTTGCTTTGCTCTTTGGCACGCTCACTGCAATGCATTTCAAAAAAGGCTCCTTTTGCCTGTCCTCTACCTGCCTATCGTCGTCTGCTGCTGCTGCTGCTGCTTACTTGGCAATTTCATAACATGCCCCCAAAGTATGTGAGGCTCACTCTCACTCACACTCGCACTCGCACAGAGCTACACCGCTCGCTCTCATCAACTTCGCCATGGGCGGCCATTTTGGTGTGTGCGAATGAGCGAGCGAGCATGCCAAACCGAACGCGTCGAGAGAGCGAGAGCAGTGAGTGAGCGTCGACGAAGCGTCGCGGCGAAAATGAAAAAGGGTCTCTCAGTCGCCAGCACATTTACGCCGTTTCAGTTGCTTTCGTGCGCTTGGAGCTTTTGTTTGGTTTTAGTGTGTGCACGGCAGATCGCGACGCGTGCGGTGTGCTGGCCAACAAAAAAATTACATACACTCGTATATTAAACATACACACACACATTAAACAGCAGCAACAACAACCAACGCCAAACCACACACAAAAAGAAAATCATTTTCCTTGTGTATTAATTAATAAATAAAGTAAGTTTGTGAAGTGGGGAAAAAGTATAAATAAATTATGGACATACATAATTGTGAAATCGGTTTTATATGCAGTTCCCCCATTTTTATCACGTATGTGAATTTGTGATTGTGTGTGTGTTCCTTCAAATGAAAAATGTTCTATTTTTAAATGCACCATAAAGCAAATTACATACACACACACACACACACGGAAATCTATGTGACTGACTAGTAGCGATTGCTTCATACTTCAACTTTAAAATTATAAGAAAATCGTAAACGTTTCTCTGTATGTGTGGCTACTTGTGAAATTTTCCACAATGAAAATCCCACTAGGAAAAAACACAGTGAGCACACGCGCACACACATTCGTCTCGTTCACATACAGAGTGCGTATGTGTGCAAGTGTGTGTGTGTGTTTGTGCATGCAGCAGTGACGACGCGAACGTCGACTGCGGCTGCGAAACTTCCCCTCTTTATGTTTCATGCTGCTTGCTGCCGCCGCCGCCGCCTCGTTAGCTAGCTGACAGCGACGGGTCGACGTCGTCGTCGTCGCAACGTCTCGTTGTCGTCATTTATCGTTTCCATCGATCTCCAACACTAGCAACTGTAACATCGCCACAAAATCCGTTAGCCGAGTATTTGTACTTGCGCTCTCGTTGCTATTGCTCTGCTTGCGCTCATTTCATGTCGAGTGAGAGTGAGTGGTGTGGCGGCTGGTGCCGTTGGAATGAGCAAAGTTGAAAAAAGGAAGCAAAGCCAAGATAGAAGTATTTGAAAGCAAACGACGAAACAAGAAAAAAAATTGCATTTGCAGTTGTGTGCTCGAGCGTCATAGATGGCGCTTTCGTGTGTTGAAAAAGTATGTTTCACATGTGTTGGTGTATTTGTTGATGTGTTGATGAAGCAATTGCGGAGCTGTGTAATTTGCATATGTAGATAAAATATAATAATAATAATAATCTCACTGAAATTTCGAGCTCTGTTGAGCGTTAATGCATTTCAATGTGTGTGTAAGAGAGGTACTAGGCGGCTTTTTCTTTTTTTCTGCCGTTGCTGAAATAAAACATGAACTTGACCTTGAACAGCTTGCTAGAGGCAAAACATAAAAGCGAGTAATTAATTGCCATTGTTGTTTGGTTTCTTTTGATGTATGCAAGTGAATATGTGTATGTGTGTGAATTATTGTCATTTTTTGTGTTTAGCGACTTAACTAACTTGTTTATATTTTTTATTTCTTCTATTGCACTTGCAGTTTAACTGACATAACTACAAGCATTTGACAAAAATAAAAAGAAAAAGGAAGGAAGATAACAACAAGTGGAAGATAAAGCCGACAAACCAAACGAAAGCTTACTAAGAAAATATATAAACAAAATTATATTTCCAATTGCATGATATACTGAAATTTCCTGAAAGCTGCTGAAAGAAAAACGCGCCAGGCAGAGAGCACAACCTAAAGTGCGCATCGCCACGTCGAACGACGCGACGGTCGGCAAAATCAATTTTTTTCCCTTCCTCCTCTTCTATCCTTTGGAAACTTTTCGGCAAACATGGATGACGATCAACAGTTTTGTTTGCGCTGGAACAACCATCAGAGCACGTTAATCAGCGTCTTTGATACGTTGCTGGAGAATGAGACACTAGTCGATTGTACGCTCGCCGCCGAGGGCAAATTTCTCAAGGCCCACAAGGTGGTGCTATCAGCATGCAGTCCCTACTTTGCGGTGAAAAAAAAAAAAAAAAAAAAAATTGTTTTGTTTTTGTTTTTTTTAAATACAGAAATCTTAATTGAAACAAATTTGCAATCTATTTAATATTGTAGACTTTGCTGCAAGAACAGTACGACAAGCATCCGATTTTCATACTCAAGGATGTCAAGTACCAGGAGTTGCGCGCCATGATGGATTATATGTATCGCGGCGAGGTGAACATCTCGCAGGATCAACTGACGGCACTGCTCAAAGCCGCCGAATCGCTGCAGATTAAAGGTTTATCCGATAATCGCAGCGGCACGGGCCCAGCAGCTGCCGCCGCAGCCCAACAACAACAGCAAGCACCCAAACCCGATACACATCATCGCGTCAAGCTGAGCGCTCCCTATACACTCGAGCAGACAAAGCGTGCGCGCGTCACAACGGGCGGTGCAGCTGTGGGTGTTGGGGGCATGGTCGATGCTGGAGATGTGGCCGGTTCGCGTGAAGGCTCCTCCAGTCCATCGCGTCGTCGTCGAAAAGTGCGACGCCGTAGCATGGAAAATGGTAAATTGCAAAAATAAATAATTAGAAAATATATGTTGTTAAATAATATATTTGTTTAATTTTGCAGATATGCACGACAACTCGAATTCGTCTGTGCTAGCCGCCGCCTCCAATCAGTCAATCCTCCAACAAACAAGCGCTGGCTTAGCCGCCTCCGCTCTGGTCAGCACTCAATTGGCCAGCGGTAGCGGTGCAGCAAGTGCAACGGTTGCTGCTGCCGCAAGCAGCGGCACCGGAAGCCAAGTAATCAACCAGCCATTGACCAGCAGCAGCAGCAGCAGCAGTAACGTTACCAAAAAGACTGAAAGCGCTAAACTAACATCGACAGCAGCTGCCCAGGGCGCCCAACAACAACAGCAACAGCAGCAGCAACAACAAACAACAAGCGATGCCATTAACACCGACAATGTACAACAACAGCAGAATCAAGGCGCCCAAGGCGAGGCCGAGGAGATGGATGTGGCAAGCGGTGGTGCTGCAAGTGGCGCTGTTGCCGTGCATCCCGGTGTCGTTAAGCAATTAACAACGCTCGACAAGTCGAATCATAAACAAAAGATCAAAGATAATAGCATAACAACAACTGAAATGGTCATCGAGCCCAAGGCCGAATACGACGATGATGCGCACGATGAGAATGTTGAGGATTTGACTTTGGATGAGGAGGATATGACAATGGAGGAGCTGGACCAAGCGGCCGGCACCAGTCAGGGTGGCGAAGGATCTAGTCAAGGTGCGTCTCTGCTCTACAAGCATCTAAATATCAAATTATATAAATACATATTTTGGATATTAATTGTGTAAATTCTTCTTGTCGATATTGTAGCATATGCAACATGGCAACACGACAGATCTCAGGATGAACTTGGACTAATGGCCGCACAGGATGCACAGCAACGGGATCCACAAGGTGAGTTTTTCCTTGCATACTCTATACTCGAAAAGATAGTTCAAGAAAAACTATATACAAACTTATATATATAATACAAATGAAAAAGCAAAAACAGTTTAGATCAATTATGGTTAGGGACCAGCCGAGCACGACGACCAGCTAAAAATTTCAAATGCAAATTTAGTAGAAGCAGAAAAATGATATTTACGAATTTTTCTCACACAACTCTTAATTCACATAATTTGTTTTTCGTTCAAAAACTTAAAAAGAAAGAATACTACATAATTATTTAATTTTTGAAAAATATAAAATATAAAACTGTAAAAGGTCGTGCTCCGAAAAAAGCTCTTAAACGTTTCAGCAAGAATTTTTGTTAGGTAGTCAAAAGCATAGAAAGAAAGTAAAAAAAAAAACAAGCAACAAGAAAAATGCAAAAAATACTAAACAGAAAAAAAAAAACAAGAAACAAAATTCGAAGCGGCGGCACAGCAAACGAAAAATAAAAGAACAGAAAAATTTAAAAACTAAAAACCAGAAACAAAATGACAAATGTTTCAAGTACCAAAAAAAAAAATTAAATTTATAGCCTTGATTTGATTTCTTCTAATTTGTTTTGTTTGTGTGTTTTGTTTTTCTGTTTTGCTTTGCTCCGCTCTCGATGTTACAGCCAAAAGTTAAAAACTAAAAAAACCAGATAATAATTTGTGCAAGTTGAAAGTACTACTATTTATTTATTTTGAGTTTTTTTTTACAACTAACTTCAATTATATAATTTTTTTTTGATTTGATCACACATAATTCGTATAACTCAAGTTTTTTTTTCTGTATATATTTATTGTATTTATTATATTAAACTACTTTAAATTTAATTTTTAACACACAATCTATCACAAAAGAATTGAAAACACAACCAAAACCACCAACAAAAACATTTGCTACTATACCCTCCCCCTAAAAGACCTGATTATAGCTATCCTCCACAACTATTTAACTAACTCTAACTATTATAACTCACTCAAACTACCATCAAATTCATTTGCGCTTTATGAAATGTGTTCTATGTATGATTTGTTTTTAATATTTATATATATATATATATATATCTATAATTTTTTAACTTCTATATATATATATATAGATTTATATATATTATGTTTGGTAATCATTTGGTTTTCTGATGTATTGGTGTTTTTTTTGTGCCGCATTTGGTTTTTAACATTATTATTTTATGTATATATATATAATTTATACTTATTTAACACACACATACACATACACATATACATACACAAACATATACATATATAGTATTTTTTCAATAGTTTTCCATTAATGCATAACATAAGCCGCAAGCTGCTGCTACATAAACCTCTCTCTCTCGCTCTCTCTTTAAATCAATTGCTGATGAGAGAGAGTTTCCGAAAACGAAGACACTTCAATTGCGCTCTCTCCTGATACACTCAGCACACTTTCCATACACACACACATATATATATACATTCATCTTGTACACACTGCAGCTTCAAGTTTGATTGTGTTTGTATTAAGTTAGTTTATAATTATGTTTTATGCGTGCGTATGTGTGTGTGTGTGAGTGAGAGTTGATAACAACTAAAGTTTCGTAGCTACAGCAAACGTTGTGCGTGTGTGACTTTGCTCTACCCCTACGTGTGCGTATGTGTGTGTGTGTGACGGAGTGAGTGTGCGAGCTGTGCGCGTGTATGCCGTAGGTTGCTTTCTCTGTCTCACTCTTTCTCACACTGAAAGCTCTCTTAGTGTTTGTTTTAAGTGCTGCTGCAGTCCTGTCAAAAAAAGCAGTTTTGTTGTTATTGTTGGTAAACCACTTCTAGCAATTTTAACCAGCAACATTCAAATAACCAAGTTATCAAGTTTAACATGATTTCTTTTTGTTAAACATCTTATAACACACACAAACACACATCCATACATACACACTCATCAATACATACACACACACAATCCTCCATTTCTCGGCACTTGTTTGTTATCATTATTGTCACATTTGCTTTTCTCGCCATATTCATTCAATGCCAACGTTTTATTTGTTGATTCGTCTTCGTTTAGAATTCTTCTACCTATATAAATTCCCCTTTTCTTCAGCGCGAGCTAATGTTTTATTACACGATTTTAGTTGATTTTTTTTCCGTTCCTTATAAACTATATATATATATATATATATATAAATATTTATATAAAAAATACGCATGCAGTTTTTAAATTGTAATTTTAGTACTATGTATATTTATCTTATATATATTATACATACATTATCTATGTATATATATATATGTATAATTTTGCTTTATTTTGGTTGACGGGACTTTTTTTTTTGTTTTATTTATTGACTTTGATTTGTGTTATCCATTATGTTTTATGCTAGTTCTTAAGACGTCAAATTCGTTTCGAAACATCTTTTGTTTGGCAAAAGCTTTTCTTTTGTACGAACAGAGAGCGCGTGCGCGTAGCTTTTCGAACTTTTTTTTGTACCGTTAAAGCAGCGCGTGCTCTTTCTCTACTTTGAGGCGAGAGCGCATTGCGCATGCTTCGCGTCGGTAATTCATTCAACAAAAACTTTAATGAGTTAAGTGCAAAAGTGTTCAAAGAAACTCAGCGTCAGCAGCAGCAGCAGCGCAGCAGCAGTAGTGAGGTATCGAAACGGATCATCAAATCTACAAATTCGCCGTCTCGCCTGCATCTTCGCCCGATCAAGTTAATGCCGCGTATGCAAAGCACGTAGCCATCCAGAGTGGGTGGTGAGGTACAGTTGTTGCTTTCGCTATGCGCTGGTACTTGCATCGTGGCGCCATCTACAGTTGGTTTGTCTGCGAGTTAACATCGTTCATACGCTTGGGTCCAGGTAAGTATGCTTCGCTTGACGGTATCGGTTGAGCGAAGTGCCAAGAAAATGAAGTAAATTTTGATATTTTAAGTTCGTTTTTGTTTCGAGCCCCAAAAAAAGTCCAAGCCAATATTCCCAACATCCTATCCCAAAAGCTTTCCCCGCCATCTCCAACTCATCTAAAAAACAAGACCATTCACTCATCAAACCAAAAAAAGAAAACCATAATTTTCCAGCGTTTTCAGGTAATGTAGCAAACAGGGTGCAAAGCTCTGGTGCTTTTGCAACTCTTTGTGAAGCAATTTTTTGTTGTTAAAATATTGCTTGCATTAAAAAAGCGCCGGCCAGGGTAAGCTATGAACCTATCTCAAATCCGAAAAACAAAAAAAAATATATATAATCATACTTCATTTATCTACTTTACGCTGCATTATTATTAAGTGTATACACATTAAATTACACACATATATACATATATATATATGTTTATTGTATATATCTATACATATCTCTTATGATTACAATTATAATTTATTTACTTGGTCAATTTATCTTGCATTACGTTCCGGCCAATCGAGTCTCTGTTTATGTTTTAATACTTATTATAAAACAACAACCTACAACAGAAAAAAATTGCTTGAAGCGGTGCCAACAAACCAACACCAACCCAAACTTTTTTAATGAACTCTGATTTTTGATTATACAAATATATTTAACAATGAATCTCGCTACCAAACCACAAAAAATACCCACAGAAATTTTCCTCGACAGATAAACAAACAAACAAACAAAAATGAAAGAAATCAACACAAACATAAAAAATGTTTCTTTTTGTTCTTCTAATTTGTTTTGAAAGTTATTTATTGTTTACGCTTTCGATGTGTTGTTGATTCTGTTTCGTTTCCATTGTTTCAAAAAAAAAAAATAATAAGATTCTGTGTTTTTTTTATTGGAGATTGGATCGGCGCAGAAACTCTGCACATTTGATGTAGGCTAAAAATAAATTCAAGTTCATAACATGTTTTGTGGAAAGTAATAGAATTGTGTGGGCATCGAGTCTGGAATTTCAAGTTAGTTTTCAATGGTGATTTAGATATACTTTATGCATCTGGAACGTGCGTCATTTGTCTGGTCAAACCACTTGCCGCTGGCTCTAGCTACCCCTTTTGAAACCTTCCGTTTGTGTGTTTTGAAAGCTTGTTTTCTCATAATTTATAAGCGCGCGCCCCTTGGTTGTTTCTGCTCTCGCTCCGTCTGAATTGTTGTTTCGCTCTCGCTCTATTTCTATTTCTATCTCTATCTGTCACTCGCTTGCTCTGTTGCTGCTGTTAATTGTTGATCAACGTCAACAACGAACAACTTGAAAGATTCGTTCAAGTTCAAGGTCGGACAAAGATTTTTTCTACGCTTATGCGAGAGAGCGAGAGATGTTGATATATATATTTATATATATATATTTTTTTCTTTTGTGAAATCAGCTTTATGTGTGGCTGAGATTGTTGTGTCTTTGTTTCACACTGAAGGAAAATGTATACATGAGCTATATAAAGTTCTCAATGATCGTGTTTTGTTTGCATGGATTGCATTAGGTAGGAGGAAACGAGTTTCTTTTCAAGTGTTTTTTTTTTTCGATAATGGGGTATTTCCAAATTCATTAGCATATTATTGTCTACAAAACAGTTTCGAAAGCGAGTGATTAAAAACATTAAACTTAATGTCTCTCTCCCACCATACAGAATAATTTTTGTTGTATAATGATGAAAGCCAATTAGTATGTTTGTTATTTAAATTTCGATTCTGTCATCGTGGTAATACAATATTAATAGAAAAGAATTGAAATCGATGTTGAAATTTATGGAGAATATTTCTACTAATTCTGTACTATTTTACTAGACTATTCTCTAGAATAATTGCGCTTACTTGCATTGAAAGCTCTCTGTTTGGCCTTGACCCACTTCTTGAGCCATGTGTTTTGGTTTGGCCTATTAAAAAGCACAAGTATCAAATGCTTTTTAGGTTACTGCTGCAACCTCGTCGTCAATGAAGCTTTTTGTGATAACTGTACACACAAGCGCGCGCACACACATACACTCACACACGCACACAGTTATACAGCGCTTTGCTCCTCTCTCTTTCTCTCTCTTTTTCTCTATATGTG